CCTTCTTTTCTCATTTTCTGATTTATTTTATTTATTTTTCTATTTATTCTGAAAATTCGATTTTCTTTACGGCAACCCTAAATCTGATTAGGTGTTAGTCTTTACAACTTTCGGCACACGTTTTGACCCCGTGGGGGTAACGAAGTGCTGCCGAAATTTTGTGTTTTTCTTTCACTTAGTCTTCTCGGCACACTTCGACCCCATGGGGGTAACGAAATGCTGCCCAAATTTTTGACAAATCAGATACTTCATTTCTCCCTACCTCCTCAGTCGCTTATTTATTTATTTATTTATTTATTTATTTATTTATTTATTTATTTATTTATTTCTTATTTCTTTATTTATTATTTTTTTAAATTCTTTTTATTTGCGGCATCTTGACACCTAGTGTGCTCACCTTGGTCTCTCCTTTCCCCTTCGCACATTCTTGACCCCGTGGGGGGTAGGGAAATGTTGCCGAAAATTTCAAAAAAATAAATATTGTTTTCCCTTCACATCTTTTTTACTTATTTTTTAAATTATTTTTATTATTTATTTATTCCCTTACTTATTTTTATTTTCTCTCGAAATCTCGCTGTTTATTTATTTTTCTCCCGCCTTCCCCCTCCTATGCTTGCTATTTTACTTTCTTGATTAGGTCACCGGTACCCTACCCTAACCACCTAAACTTCGGTTAGGTTTTTCTTAGGGTTTTTGTAGGATTTAGAGTTCTTCAAAATCCCCACTACTTCCCCGTCCTCTTCAGGCACCCTGGACCCGAACCACCCCTCCCCCTTTGACGGCGCCCGCGCTAGCCTTGCTAGCGCCGTTCGCCGCTTTCTACCGCGGACTTCCCCCTACGCCCTCCGCTCACGCGGACCTCTTCTGGCCCCCTCCAATCCGGTCCGTCATCTCCCCATGACCGACGGTGTGTCACACGCCGCCGACACGGTGACGACCACGGCATCGGGCTACACACCCGTGCCGGCGGACCAGGGCCATCAGCCCCAGGGGGATCTGCACACCCTCCTCACCTCCCTCCTTGCGCCCATCCAGGCGCAACTTGCGACCTTTGCGCCCATCCAGGCGCAACTCGCGACCCTCGCGCCCTTACAGGCGCCGGTGGCGACCCTAGCCGCTGGCGTGCGGCAACTCCAGGACACTGGTTGTCCTTCCTCTCCTCACCCTATCTCTTCTCCTGGCTCCCAGTCCGGGTCCCCCGTCCTCCAACAGGGTGACCATGGTGGATCTTCCTCCTCCGTTGCCTCCGACCCGGCCATCTTGGTGACCGTCCACGCCCCAAGCACGATGGCCGCCATGAGTCAGGTCCTCCCTCAGTCTACGGGCACACCCGCCCAGAACCCGGTCACCTCGGCCACGGTACCACAGCCCGCTACCATGGTCGCAGCTTTTTCGGGTGCCCCACTTTTCCCTCCTCTTCGCATGACCGCAGCGCCGCCTGGCTCTACCCCTTGTGGGATACCTCGTGCCGCTCGTGCGTCTCCCCCTGCTACACCTCGCTCGACCTACGTTCGAGGTCTTGAGGACAAGATCGCCCAGCTCCGGACCGACCTCGCCCTCTCACGCCTTCAGCCACCCCCACCCTCACAGGTGGCCACGCCTTCTGGCGCTCCCCCTTCTTCCTCTATTCTTCCTTCCATGCAGGCTCGCTTCCCTCGCCCTGCACCCTATCTATCCCCATCCTACCTCCTCCCCATCCTTTCGGTTGCAGCCTGCCCTGCACCCATGCTACGACCTCTTCTACCGCAGCTCCCGCGCAGCCTGCCGCTGTTTACCCCGCCGCTCCACCATGCGGCCCGGGCGTCCAGTCAGCTGCGCCTTCTCTTCCAGGACCTGCGCCGACTTATTCCGCCGTAGCGCAGTCCCCTGCTTCTCGTTCCCCTCGCCGCCAAAACGGTGGCGCACCACTCATCCGCTTGTCGGACATTGCCTTGTATGACGGTACAGGCATACGCGTGTTTAGGTGGCTGGTGTCTGCCACCCGCACGCTCCAGCTCATGCACGCCACACCCGACACGTGGGTGGGTCACCTTTCCACGCGCCTACATGGCGGTCCTTCTGAGGCTTGGGAGGATTTCTACGCGTACTTACTTTGTGCGGGGCGAACTCTGACCTTCATAGATTTCCAGGCGTTTCTCGAGGATCGCTTCGGAGCCCGACACGATGTGACTGATTCCTTCGAGTCTGTCGTCACTACACGCTGATCCGGCTCTGGTGGCGCTGCCGGCCTGGATCGCCACTTCCAGGTCTTTCAGGACGCCCGCCTCATCTGTGACGTGGCGTTCCTCCCCGAGGCTGCCCTTATCGATCGTTTCTTGGCCAGCCTTCCGCTCGAGTACCGCTCCGAGCTATGGCGGTACGAGTTCACATCGGCCCCGCAGGCTTATGAGGCCGTCAGGGACCATCAGCAGATGCGGACCCGTCTTCACCCCGCCTCCGCCTCCCAGCCACAACGTACTGGTTATGCATCATCCTCCTCTCACGGCACTTCCCAACGCCATTCCCCTTTTCGCGGTTGCCCCCGCCGTTCCCCGCAGCAGGGTTGCCACTTCTCGCGCCGCTTCAGCTCGCTCGAGTATGGTGAGCAGGACGCTAGTGCCCCGCTGTCGCCAGAGGGTGACAGTAGCGACGACCTCGATCTCGGCGATGTTGTCCACCACCACCTGGAGGACTCTACTCTCCCTATGGCTGAACGCCTCCAGATCATCCTATCCATTCTTTCCTACGCACGCAGCCACCCTGGTCACGCTGGTGCGTTGCCCCCCAAGGTCCCTCAGCAGGACCTCCCTCAGTGTTTTGTCCCTCCTCGCGGTGTCCTTTCCGCGGAGGAGCGCGCGGCTATTTTGGGCCGGCGTGGGTATTTGCGTTGCCGCCTGGATGGTCATGCCTCCTCGCGGTGCCCTTACACTACCGCCCTCGACCGCAAATACGCTGACCTTTCCCGCCAGCGTCGTGCTTCGTCCCCCCCCGGCGCCTTACATCCCCGCAGCGCCTCCTAGCCACGGTGCAGTATACACCTGCGCCCTCCTCAGTAGTCGGCTTCCCGACATCTCCGTTGCGGTTTGCCCCTCTCGCTACTGGAGCTGAGGTATCGCAGAACTCGACAGAGTGTACTCAGCCCTCTGTTGCAGTACCGTCTGTGCCTCAGCAGACCACTGTCTCCCCTCCTCCCCCGCCGCGACTACCGACGCGTCGAGCCATTCGCTCAGCCCGTCGCAGCGAGCAGCTCGCTACTCGCGAGGACGTTGTGTCCTCTCTTCCGGACTTCAGCATGCTCCAGGCTCGTCAAGAGCGACTCACCCTCCATGTCGCTGCTTTGCGTCGCCTTCTCACCATCCTCTCTGACCCTGATTGCACCCTCCCGATCATCCCAGTACGACTCGGGACCTCCACGAGGGTGTACTCAGCGGTGTGGGATTCCGGTTCTTGGGCGACTTCATTCACCCACGCGTGGTGAAAGAAGCCAGCTTACCCACGACAGGGTCTCCGACTCCCATCTCCATTACCTTAGGGGATGACCAGACCCAGCGCTTCTTCGATCAGACGGTCACCGACCTCCCTTTCTTCCTCACTCTCGAGCCGACTGATTGTTCCTCGGCATCCCGTCGCCATCGCTCCTCTGCACATTTCGATGTGATGGAGACGGGGTACGACTTCATTCTCGGCACTCCGTGGTGTCGCCGGTTCCGCAACACCGAGGCCGATTGGACGACCAACACTCTCGTTCTTAAAACCAAGTGTGGTCAGACGTATCGCGTACCTTTTATAGGTACCACTGCGACACCACGCCCCGATCCTCCTTCCCCGGAGCCATCTGTGCCCACACCATCTCCTTCCATCACTGTCACCTCGCCTCGACAGTTTGCCCACTTCATCCGACAGGACGACGTCACCTTCTTTATGGTGGAAGTGAAGGATCTCTTACACTATGATCCACCCTGTCCCGACGCCGAGCTCATACCTCTAGAGCCAGATCCTCCTTCTATCTTCATGACTCCTATCTCCACTTCCGTCCCTCCGCTGTCCGTCGAGTCCACCCCGTCGTCGCGCACAGACGCTGACGCTGAGGAACTCGCACGATATACAACTGACCTGGAGCCCGCAGTTCGTGACCTCATCCGAGAGTACCACGACGTTTTACCATCGTCGTTCTCGTACGCTTGCATCCCACCGATGCATGACGTCGAGCACTCCATTCAGCTTGTGCCTGACTATTGTGTTCACCACCAGACACCCTACAAACTTTCGATCCCCGAGGCCACCGAACTCAAGCGTCAGCTTGAGGAGCTCCTGAGACTGGGTTTCTTTAAACCCAGCAACTCCTCGTCGGGTGCACCCGTCCTCTTTGCTCGCAAAGCGGATGGAACTCTTCGTCTCTGCATCGACTACAGCGGTCTCAACCGCTACACGGTTAAGAAGAGCTACCTCATGCCTCGTTCCGACGAGCTGTTCGACCGCGTAGCAGGCAACCGCTTCTTTGCGAAGATTGATCTTCGTAGCGGTTACCATCAGATCCGCGTCGCTGCAGCCGACCAGCCGAATACCGCGTTTCGATCGCGCTTCGGCCACTACGAGTTTACGGTGATGCCATTCGGCCTCACCAACGCACCCGCCACCTTCCAGACGGCTCTTCAGGGACATCCTGGAGCAGTACGTTCTCGTCTACCTTGACGGTATCCTGGTCTACAGTCGTACCCTTGAGGAGCACCTCAGACACATCCGCGATGTCCTTGACCGCTTGCGCAGACATGACTTGTACGCCAAGATGAGCAAGTGCCGCTTTGCCGAGCACAAAGTGGATTTCTTAAGACACTACGTGTCTGGCCAGGGTCTCCACATGGACGACGCGAAGATCATTGCTATTGCTGAGTGGCCCGCTCCCACATCCGCCAAGCAGCTTCGCAGCCTCTTAGGCCTGACCAGCTAGTATAGTAATCTCATCCGGGGATACGCTAGGTATTCCTACGTCCTTACCTCCACCCTCCTCCGGAAGAACCCACCCTGGGCTTGGACACCCCTCCACGAGGACGCCTTCCGCGCCCTCAAGAAGGTGGTGACATGCGCACCGGTTCTTCACCTACCCGATTTTGATCGCCCTTTTATCCTTGCGACCGATGCATCAGACTTTGTTGTAAGAGCAGTGCTTTCTCAGGTCTTCCCCTCCTCTCCTGATTCCTCTCATCCTCGTATCCCTTGCTTCCCACCACCTACCCCTACCACTGCCTCCCGACTGATGCCTACTCGTTGAGCTACTAACGAGCCTTCTATTGATTATTCTCCTACCATCGTCGAGGACGGCACTGTCGAGTCTCGCTTAGGTGATTGTTCGATAGCCTTCTACTCCCGTCAGCTCCTACCCGCCGAGATAAACTACACCGCTGATGAACGTGAGGTTCTCGCAATAGTTTATGCCGCTCGACATCAGCTCCTACCCGCCGAGATAAACTACACCGCAAATGAACGTGAGGTTCTCGCAATAGTTTATGCCGCTCGACATTAGCGTCACTACCTGCACGGGGCACCATTCACGGTGCGCACGGACAACTCTGTTGTCCAGGCTTTTCTGACAAAACCGAAGCTCACTCCTCGACAGGCTCGCTGGTGGCGCGACCTATCCGAGTTTAGTTTCACCAATGAGCACAACAAGGTTGAGACTAACCGGGTCGCAGATGCCTTATCCCGGCGCCCTGACCACGACCAGGAGCACATCCAACTCTCTTCCATCTCGGTCACCACTATCCACCACTCGGTGATCGACGAGTTCCGCACTTAGTACCGCCACTGCCCCGACTATTGCGACATCCACGCGACCCTTCGGAGTGGCAAGACCATCCCGAACTACTCTCTCGGGGACAACGGTCTTGTGTACTGGCTTCACAGGGCACCAGAAAGCCCCGTATTTGCGTTCCCTCCACTGGACAACTACGTGTCCGAGCAGTAGCAGAGTTCCATGACCAGGCAGTCGCCGGTCATATGGGCTTCCACAAGACGTTGGCTCGTGTGAGCCGCCTGTACGTCTGGCCGAAGCGCAAGGACTTTGTGAAGGACTACGTCGCAGAGTGTCCCACCTGTCAGGAGGTGAACAGTATGAACCACCTTCCTTATGGTTTGCTCCAGCCTCTTCCTATCCATGAGGGTCGTTGGCAGTCCATCTCGATGGACTTTATCGGTCCCCTTCGTCCTCCGACCCCTCGCGGTCATTATGCTATCCTGGTCGTCGTCGACCACTTCACGAAGCGTGCACACTTTGTCTTGTGCCGCTATGTTATCAGTGCACGTGAGGTCGCCGACGCCTTGTTTGACCGAGTCGTGCGTGCCCACGGCTTACCTCTGAGCATCATATCTGACCGTCACCCGCGCTTTACCCGCCGATTCTGGCAACGGCTCCACGAGGTGTACGGCACTCAGCTCCGCTTCTCCTCGTCTTACCATCCTCAGACTGATGGTCAGACCGATATCACGAACAGGACTCTCAAGGATATTCTCCGAAAGATTATTTGTGACGACCAGCAGTGGGATCTCCATCTTGCCCACGCGGAGATAGCCTACAACCATGCCGTCTCGCCAGCCACGGGGATGTCGCCTTACTATTGCGATCTCGGCTATCACCCTCGTGTTCCCGCGGACTTCCTTCGACCATCACAGATGCACCCCGACACGAGTTGTCCCGCGCGTGATGATTGGATTGCACACATGATGTCGATCATGAAGACCGCACATGAGCACATAGCCGCCACCCAGACTCGCATGGCCACACGTGCGAACCGATCGAGGATGGATCATCCATTCAAAGTCGGTGATGATGTGCTTATCGACGCCCGCCACTTACAGCTCAAAGCGGACACGCTTCGCAAGTTTCGGCGTCGACTTTTTGGGCCATGCCACATTCTCCAGGTCGTCAGTTCTGATACGGCTTATAGCCCGGTCAGCTTCCTTGTGAAGCTGCCCGACTACCTACGTCAGGCTCGTATGCACGATGTTCACCACGTCTTGTTACTGCGTCCTTATCGTAGACCGTCTAAGCGTTTTGCTGGACGACTATACGAGCGCCCTCCACCCATCATGGTGGACGACCACGAGGAGTTCCTCGTTTCATACATCATTGGTCGCCGAGTCACCGACGACAACCCTCCCCACGTCGAGTATCTCGTACGTTGGAAGAGTTACCCTGATGAGGAGGCTACCTGGGAGCCCCTCGAGCACTTGCAGCACGCTCGCATATTGGTGCGTGCCTATGACCGTGCTCGTCGTACTGGGTTCACTGCTCTTCCTCAGCCCACTGACCCTCCCCCTTCTCCACCGGCTGGGGAGACCGCTGAAGTCGAGCCTGCTCCATCTGAGGCAGACCTTCAGCAGCAGCCGGATGCTTCTGAGCGTCCACAACGCACTCGTCGTCGTCCTGCTCGATACGACGATTGACTCTGACTTACCTTCCCACGTCCTTGACTTCCCAGTACTCCATCCACTCCAGTTTTGCTACTTCATCTCGTCGACGTTGCGACTCTTCCTCGACGGCATTCCGAACTTCTCATCGCGGACGTCATCGACAGCTTCATGGACTTCGTCACGATCAGCTCTGCCTACTTCAGACGTCATCACTCCCTTACCACTTTACCCTGTACAGTACCCTGCTTGTGTCGCATGATGGTCTCCTTAGCAAGGTCCCTCTGAGTTGGGCTCTCCCTTGGTATACGCATAGGCATCGGGACCGTAGCATTGCCCTGGCTTCCCATCTTACGGATCTAGCTCCGACTTCCCCACCTTATGAGTCATTTGCATGATTCCCTTACCCATCACCTTTCTACCCTCTGCCGGCCCTCACGCCCTAGTTAGGCAGCTCCGCATGCTTCATCTAGGTGCGCCCAGTATACCAGGCTCCCTTGTTCCCTTGCATGGTCGACCCTCCATAGCAGTCACCCCTTAGTCGAGCATTACCCGCCCTGATGGTCTATCTGTTAGGGTCATTGGTTCTGTTCGCTCCCAGYTCCCTACCCTCATTGAGCCTGATGACATGATTCTCCCTGTTATCTAGGTGTGGATACCCTTAGGAGTTTTCGACCCCTAGGCTGCATTCGCCACCCTCAGAGACCATCCCACCCTTTGGTTTGCGACACACTCCTCCTGTGACATATCGTTGTTTTGTTGTTGTTTGTTGCTTTCGGACTGAGGCTACTTCCTCTGACATTTCTTGGATTTAGTTGTTCTGCTTTTGTTGTTCTTAGGACTTATACACTAGTCAGTTGTTCCCAGACTGAGGTTACTGCCTCCAACATTCTAGGATCTAGTTGCTTCTGCTTTCCTAGGACATGAATGCTAGTTACTTGCTTCTGCTTTCCTAGGACATGTATGCTAGTTAGTTGCTTCTGCTTTCACTTAGGCTGTTAGTTGTGACATTTTCTAGCCTAGGTTGCATCACATGGACTCATCATGGAGCTTGCTCCGCATCCTAAACTACTCAGGTTTTCTTTTCTTTGGTAGAGTTCCGCTTCTTGGCGGAAGCGTGCTTGTATCTAGGCGATCCATCACAGGCCGAGGATCGTGTAGCGGACCTCTGGTGTGCCTGTGAGACCAGCCCCTTGGCCTGTTCTCACAGACCTTTGTTTTATTCGGGGCAGTCCAGTCCAGGCCGGTGCCTCTGTCGGTACCAGCCAGTCCAGTCCAGTTTCGTCAGTCCGCTGGGGTATACCCCAGCCATTGTCTGTTTTCAGCTCATTCTACACCTGCACATTTTGGAGTACGTGCGCTGGAGTCTTGCGTGGGGAGCTGCGTTGTGCATCTTGCTCCCCCCTTCTTCCTCCATCTCCATCTCTATCCCTAGCGGAGCACCACACCTGGTGGGTCCGCTTCATCAAGGTACCTGCAGCACAACGCCACCTTCACAAGTTAGTAGCTGGTATATGAGAGAGAGAGAGTTCTTCTTCTTCCTCTTCTCAGTCCACCGTCTCCCTCTCACCCTCTCGACATCTGACTTCACTGCATCAGCAGACTATGAGATAGAGAGAGAGAGAGAGAGAGAGAGAGCTTGGTGACATTTGGATCCAGATTCGACATTGGACTTCAGACATTTTGACGAGGGATTATTTGGGACTTGTAATGAGACTTGGTGTTGACGACTTTCCCATCTCTCCCCTCCTCTTCTCCGTCTGATCCTCTCCTCTTCGTCTGTGCATGAAATGGACCTGGCGGCTCTTCCTGTGTATAGCGCCAGACTCCCTTCACACCATGTGGTGAGAATGATGTATGTTTGGTCTGCGTTGTAACATAGAGTGGGTTAGTCATTAGAATTCTAGTATTCTGCTGCGCTATCTTGTACTACGTGAGAGAGGTCAGTCCCGGTCAGGTCACGACTTGTACCTAAGTCTTCCACTGCACTGTAAAGCACCATTTTCTATGTATTAGAATGTACAATGTACACCGCTCGTTGAGATTTCACTTGCACTGCATTGTCCATTCAGTCCTTTTCATCACATTGCGGATCCTTGGTTTATATGTACATCGTCCAACTGGGCATGTAACACATAGCCTTTGGGCAGATACATAAACACATGGCCCTATTGGCTCATACAAACATACACAGCCTCTGGGCATACACACATACACACAAATTACGATACAGGGCTGGGGGGGTCTATCAGGTATATGATGGGGTCTACTCACGTGGCTTAGCTCTAGGGTAGGGGTAGGGATATAAGTCGCTCTGGCTAGTCTGAGCTCCGCCTAGCCTTGGGTAAGCTAGGGGAGGGATGGTAGGATGTGTCTGCGGGCGCTGGCCTGCCTTGCTTAGGTAATCCTGCTGGGTAGACTCTCTGAATTGGACCTATAGAAGATTGCATGAGCCAGGCGTCCGAAGTTCCCGTACGGCAAGGTTCTTCCACTTCCATCAGGGTAGGGAGTTTGGCCCAGCCTTGGTGCTTGTCACTGCTGTCTGGTCCAAGTTGCCCTCGATACTGGTAGGGTGATGGTCCTGAGTGCTGGTCACAACTGAGGTAGGATAAGTAGAGACAGGGGGTGCGCTGAGAGTATTAACGTCACGGTGCGGATGGGTAGGGTAGGTGGCCTATTGTCAGGACAACCATTGGCTGCCACTACTAGCAATCACTGCGGGTCTGATCCTTGGCCTCTACAACACCCTGGGCTTTGTGAAAAAAAAAAAAAAAAAAAAAAAACCATCGTACACATAAGGAAGCTCCATTTTGTCTCACCTTACTTGGCCGAGGATTTGCAGCATCATTTTGTGGAGTGTTCACATTCTATGGCCTTTTGGCAGTGATGGGCAGTGGCTTCCCCCTTTCAGATAGACTGGGGTTGCCAGCAGGGCAATGATGCCATGCTTCGAAGTCCCTTGGCTAGCCATCTTCCTAGCTCAGTGGTTAGAGCACTGGTTAGAAATGCGCATTTTGGTATGAGGTTGCGGGTTCAAAACTCCGCAGCCTTGCGCATGGACACCGCCAGGCCGTTAGAATGACGCACGGCTGGACACACACCCCCTTGAGATGACGCAGGTAAGTTATTACAGACACTGCCTACGCGCCACCCAAGGGGTAGTCCATGGTTGTTGTATGTGGGGACCGGGCAATGGTGGGTATCCTGATGTTCTTGGTCTATGGGGTTGTCATGAGACTGCTGGGTGGCTCGCATAGTCTGTGTTTACTCGAGCCCAGTAGAGCACAGCTACACACTATTTCACAGTGTAGGTCATAGTTTACATAGAATCAGCAGAAGCTCATCACCATCATCATCATCATCATCATCATCATATGGGGGACACTGAGCCCGGTTCTCAGCAATTTCGGTTCGGTCACTCCAGGTAGACTATGAGAAGCCCGGCCTCAATCTTCTTATTGGTAATATCAGCCTTGGGCACTGGGTCCTTTTTTTTATAAAAAAAAAGAAAAAAAAAGACGTTAGGTCACTTGCACGATTCACATAAGGTCCTGTGTTCTATACCAGACTGTAACCTAGGGCTGGCCCCGCCGTCGAAGGCTCCATCTATTGGTGGGGAGCTACACCTGCTGGAAATCGGGTCCAGCGTCCGAGTACAATTATGAGAATGTATCTGCTGGAAATCAGGTCCAGCGTCCCTGTACAGTGATGCGAATGTATCTGTTGGTAATGGGGCCAGAACCCCTATACATCCCATACTAAGGAACTGCTATGCCAGCCTCAATCCTTTGACCACGTACTAAGAGGATGGCGAACCCTTTTTTTTTTTTTTTTTTTTTTTTTGTGAAACTTCATTATACGGTCGGTGCGAGATTTCCAATTGGACGTGCGTTTTGAGCAGTTCCACCCTTTCATCTCCTTCTACTCGGACGTGGTCTAAGGTTAGGACACAGCGTTGCCAGCACAAGACGGCAGAGAATAGTTCTTCGGGACAGGTGGAACATATTAGACACAAAAGTATTATCTTGGAAGGGAGGGTAGTGCCCAGCAGGATGGTCCGCCAATCCCACGGCCACACCCTATCCCACCACCTCGAGGTCAAGGTTGCAGTAGGACATTGCAGAAAGATATGTTTGACTGTCTCTGCTCTCTTTCTAGGCGGAAAAACCATGAGGCAACGAGAGCACCAGGGGACCGCACGACCTTGTTGTTCCAGCCGCAAATGGTCAATCAGCCAGTTGTTTGTAGGTAAACACCGGTGTAAAATCTGCCATTGTAAGGACGTGATTTTCGCCAGTCTACACTTTATGTCGCAAAACCAGCGAATCGGTGTGAGGAGTTGTCTTTCCACATTGAGATGCCTCTACCATCTGTCAATCATTGTTTCCTTTAGGCAACGCTTTTTTTTTAGCATTCGGTACGTTGCCTTCACCAAGAGATTTCACAGTGTTTTGGGTTTCAGTTGGCGCGGGTGGTGCTGTGACTCAGGGTACCAGATCCACTCCAGTGGGTCGATTGGTAGGAAGGCTAAGGCTAGCTCAGGAAGGAAAGTCCGCCGGGTACCACCTTCTTCCGTAACCCTGATGTGATGTAGTTCCTTTTTCAAGGTCCATTGAAGGGGGTCCCGGCTCCCTTCAAGGCCTCCGTTCCGCTTTACACTATACCACTCGAGCAATACTTCGTCCGGGAGGGCTTCCGTTATTTCCCTTCCTTAGCCACCCAGTCTCCCTCTTGTAACATCTGACCTCTACTTAGAATGGTCCACCAACCTATCGGGAGGGCTTCCGTTATTTCCTCGAAGGCCCCTTCTACGTTGTGGCAGTAACTCAATTCCGCCCTCAGTTGCTCCGGGCTTTTCCAGTCCTTCCTCTCCTTGTCCCATGGATCACCTACTCTAGTCACTCTTTGTTTTACCCAACCATAGACCCAAGGACATCCGGGAACGGTTACTTCAGTTCTCCAGGGACTGGCTGGGTGGGGTCCGGGAAGGATGGGTAGCGGAAGTAATTTGGACAGGGGACTGGGAAGGTGGAGAAGGAAGGGAGGAAACACGAGTCAAGGATGTTCCACGGGACTACCACCTGAGGTTCAAGGAGTGGCTGA